TTTTAGTTTTAGTTTGTTGTACTACTACTCGTCGTCTTCTTCTTCTGTACGTCTACTACACTACTACTACTAGTACTATATTATTCTTCTTCTTCTTCTTCTTCTTCTCTCTCTCTCTCTCTCTCTCTCTCTCTCTCTCTCTCTCTCGCTCTCTCTCTCTCTCTCTCTCGTATTTCACATTAAATTCATGCTGGATATTTAGTGAGTTTCTTTCGCTAGATTTTGCAGTTTGCCTTTTTAATATCCAAAGGTCTGTCTAAGTTGTTTAATTTTAATGGATTGGAACCTAGCTAGAAACGCTAGAAGGCTGCATGGGGAACGTGGGTGTCTAAAAATAAATATTTTGCAGCATAGAGCCGCACAAGAAGCTATTCTATACAAGGATGAACAATTAAGGGAGGCTCAAGCATGGGTTGCTAGAGCTCAGGAAATGGATGCATTGCAATCAACTGCCAACCATTCATTGCAAGCAGAACTGCGGGAGCGCACTGACCAATTTAACCAACTCTGGATTGGTTGTCAAAGACAGGTTGGCACTTTGATAGTATGCTTTAACAATTCTTTTTTATTTTTTTTCTGATTCCAGTTTTCATCATGTTCTTATTGAAGTTCAATTTTTTTTTCTTTTTTGTTTGTAAATCAATCCTTTTGGAAGCTTCAACATTTGGTTTTGTTAATTATAGTTGGCTGAGATGGAGAGGCATCATCTGCATACCATACAACAACTTCAATTAGAGTTGGCTGAGACCAGAGATAGGAATGGGAATTTCAGTGAGAATGGGAGAATATCCAGGGCAAACACGAAGGATACCACAGCATATCAAAACAAAGGAAATCAGTTTGATGCGAATGAAGCGAATGGCTTAAACGGTAACCTGGGAATTCTGACCAATGGGGATATAGAGAATGGATCACATTTTGTTCAGGCATCCGTTGCATCAACTCATGTAGGTTAAGAAGAACAAGTTTGCAATATTTAATGTTGTTTTTTTAATGTTCCATAGAGTTTGAATCCCACTAGGGCTCCTGAAACCGTGGAGAAGTTTCATACATGTTCTCCTTTCGTATTTTTATGTTCTTGGCAATGTTTTTATAGCTTAAATTTCTCTGCTTTTGAATCATGAAGAAATACACATGTCATTGGATTACGAAATGATGAGATCAAATATAAAGGCCTATTCCCTTGCCAAAGAGGGAGTGCGTTGAGAGGCCTTTCACTGTGGGATACATTACAATTCCCTAAAAACTGGTTTTGTGAATGGTTTTTTATTGGTTGTATTTTTGGTACAACTTGATTTATACCGTTTTGCTTTGGTTTCTTATTTATTGAAAGAAACTCCTCCTCTAGTCTTTAATAAAACGTACACTTAGGTCCTGTGTCATATGCACCTATGTCAGAATACACTGTGTGGTTCAACTAGATGTATACTGCCCCCCTTTTGAAGTTTCAGGGAAAAAAACACGAAAAAGAAAAGAAAAAAGGGATGATACAATTCCCAAGAGGAAAATGAAGGAAAATTCCGTTCATAATAAGAAAGTTTCAGAGTTCTAGTTCAATTGATGCTAACAGATGATTGTCATATTACTTTCTGATGCCCTTATCGAGTTTGAGCAAATTTTTAAAACACAGAATGCTTTTATTTGAGTGTCTTTTCCATGTCTTTCTCTAGTTAAGCAAAGGACAATGTAAAAAACTATGGTTTTCAGAGTTGTGATAATTAAGCAGACGAAGAGAGAGGTGGGGGGGGGTGGAGGGGCGTGAGCTTGATAGCTGTAAGAGAAACATACATTCTTTAGCCCAAACTGAGTACTTTATGCTGTAAATGGGATCCATTGAAGTGCAGTTCCGTGGACCTGAAGATTTATAATTGCATTTAGCTGCTATCTGGTCAAGTAACTGATTATAAACTATAGTTGAATACTTAGTTCCTTTGGAAGTTTAAGAGTTCTTAGTAGTACTTTCTGTTAATCTCATATTTAATGATCATTATAGACCTGCCTGCCTTTTCAACATTTTCTTTCTCTATGAGTCACTTGCCATGATCCCAATAACCATTCTGACTGCGTAAAAGCTGCACTGTTGCCTTGGCAGCTACTTCTTAGCATTGTATAATGACCATGTCCTTTTTTATCTCTTTTGAATCTGTCCGCCTTATCTATTTGTGATTTTCTGAGAATTACCAGTCAAAAGAAAGGAGGACCATCTCAACTTGGTTTTCTTGTTTTTTTGTTACAGGTTGAACATGCTCCTGGATTACCAGTTGTTCCACCTTCACTTATGAGTGTGAGTGCATTTCTACCACCTGGACAAGCTGCTTTACATCCATTTGTTATGCACCAGCATAATGTGGCTCCATCCATGCCATCAGCCAATTCACATATTACTCAGCCCCATGTTGGCCAGTTCCAGCCTATCTCAGCAGTACCATCCCATCAACATTGGCAGCATCAGCAGGTAGACATACATAATGGACTATCAATGTCGTCTGGTAAACATGGATAAGTAATTATTCTTTTTATTGTTAATCAAGGAAAACTACAAGAAACTAGACAGGCTTGAGAAAATTTTTATTAGTTTTGAGAAGATTTTTATGTGCTTTAAAAATATGATCAAATGGAAAAATTGGAAATGCTATGCGGTACCTGATCAGCAGATTGGATGCATTTAAGGTCAAACTGGATCCCAGAATGGTCCTCGATTCTTTTTAACTATAAAATTTAAAATGGACAAGAACCAATCTACAGATTTCCTCTAATCTTTTCTTTCCTAATGAAATTCTCTTAATTAGTTGTTCCAGTTAGTTAATTGAGTGATTATTGCAATTATCAAAACTACCCAGTTCTAGACCTCCTCTCGCTACCAGCAAATTTAGCCTATCGTTGTGTGTAACAGTCTGTTCCTTGGCTCGTGTTCAGTCATTATTGTTTGACTTGATCGAGCACTTTTGACGGGATACTGGAACAAATGATAGCATCTAGTTCAGGTTGAACTAGCACATTGAGTTACTTTGTTAATGTTTGGCTGGTACCTGATCCAGTCTAGTGTTTGAATTTGTTTTTTGTTAGTATCTACATTGTGCAGTATTTCATGCTTAGGTTTTTCTCTCTCTTTCTTAGGTGATAACTGAGACTCCTCAGATGACAATCCAGAACCAATATCATGTTTCCCAAACTGAGCATGGCCATTTAAGACCTGAGATGCATTTTGACTGTGATCCTTCTTTAGAAAGAAACTTGATCTCTTCAGACTACCTGGAAGCTCATTGCAATCCTGATCAGAAGTCTGGCCCCACCGTCATAATATCGAGTGAAGAAGAACAGGTAACGACCTCAACACGCTATTTATTTCCTTATGACCATACTTGGAATCCAACATGCAATTCATTGATATGGTGCTTATTTATTTAATTTTGAATGATTTTCCTAAGATACAGAAACTGGCTTTAAATCGTAGCATGGCATCTCAACAAGCAGATCATAACATTGAGGGGGCCTCTCAATTTCCTGACCAACTTGAGTTGTCAGAAAATACTTGCCAAAATGAACATAAGGTAACTGATAGTAAAGAAAAGGTTCTTGTTTCTTAATAAAAAAAAAAAGGAAAAAAGAAATGGTTCCTGTTTTCCTTTGTCTTCCTTAGAGCATTGGAGCACTGTTTAAGCCTTGAAGGAAAAAAAGAAAAGGCGAAATCATACTCTTCACCAGCTGATGGTATATAGGTTGGGATATTTATATCTCTTCTTTTTTGACACAACCAGGATGTTTCAGAAGGTATGGTACAACCACAAACAGCGGATGGGTCTAGAGGACTGGATTCCACTAATAGTGTTTCAGTTCCACAAGGTAGAGATAGAGATAAGAAGATAGTGGGAGGAGCCAACCAATCTAATGCGCAACAATCTTTGAGTGGTAGCCTGGAGAAATTGTCTATGCTGACTGTGTCTGATGCTCCAAATCAGACCAAAAATCCTAGGGATAATATTCCTGAAATTCCTCCCTCAAGTGTGACATCAGGTATAATGGGACCCGCAAAAGTTTTAGAATCCCAACTTCTCGATGAAAGATCCTTGTTATCATGTCTTGTGCGTGCAATTCCTGTGGGGGGCAGCGGTCGGATCAGAATAAGTACAACAGTAAGAGTTCTAATCAAATGAGAACCTCCTTTACTCCTTTAAGAGTTGCACCTGAATGTTTGCTCCTATGAGATTCACTCTGTATAGAACACTGTTGTACATCTGCCTCTGTTTTATGCAGCTTCTTACGAGACTTAGCAAAATGCTTGCACCTCTGCAATGGGATGACTATAAGCAGCGTCATGGGAGGCTGGAGGACTTTGTAGCTTGTCATCCACAAGTAAGGATCTTTATGGCTCTAAGTTTGGGTTGCAAATTCCAGGCTTTTAGTTAGAATTTGGTGTACTACTGTCCTATTGAAATCAAATCTGGCCTAAGTTTGCTGTAAAGTTGGAAATTATTTTACTGTATGTTTTCTTAGAGTAATCCATTTTTGGGCAACTAAAAAACAATGGTCCTTTTATCTAGGAAAAGAAAAAAAAGAATGTCCTTTCCTTCTCCTTGAAGGTTTGAAGCAAAATTCAGGCTGAAATCTAATTATAATTACTGTTCTCAGTCACATTTGAAAAAATTATTGTTCTCAGTCGATATTTTTTTTTTTTGTGTTTTGACTGAAAGGAAAAAAAAATATCCTTAACCTTTACTTTGACCGCTCCCCTTGAAGATTCAAATTTCAAGCCCTGGGGCATGAAGCTTGAATTCACATTTGCTTAGAGAGATTCACTAACGGGTCTTCTTATTTAAGTTTTGCAATTTCATCCATTTCTCATCAAAGTTGACTTAGCATGAAAAATCTCATTTTTGCAATTTTTAGCTATTTGTCATTGAAGGTGACTTTATTCATCTACGAGAAGGAGCACATGCAATTATATCAGCAACAACAGCTGCAGCAAAAGTTGCGGCCGCAGCCGCTGCATCACCTGGTGGCTCAGGATTACTGCCAACAGTTGCTCTGACTCCTGTGGCACAAATTCGCCGCCCTAAAAGGAATTCATCCTTTGATCCCAACCCTCAAAACCCAAATTTAATGGGGAATACTGAAAATACCATGTTTACTAATCGTGCAATCGTGCAAGGAAAACCCCTGCAACTTATGGTAAAGCAGAACCAGAGTTTGAATGGTCATTCCAGTATTAAGATTTTGAGCAAACCAAGAGATCTTCAGGGGCAAAATGGGGCTTTGGCAGAAATGAGATCCAGCAGTTCAAGCTTAAATGCCACTGTTGGAAGTGGTGCTAGACCTGATAAAGGTGGATCTAATACTTTTCAAAGCAATGGGTCTAACAGTGGTGCAAATGGCATGAATCTCGGTACTAAGCAACAGGGAAGGTAATTAAGGTTAACTGTGTGGACACCTAATGATAATGCTATATACATTATTACGAAAACTTAATGTAATGCAGTGTGTCTGAGTTTCTTTGCATTTCTATTTTGTCACTTTATTTGATATTGAGATACATATTACTTTCAGGGTACCTGCTGCTTCGTTAAATGCGAAAAGATAGTACATGGGTGATTATGACCGATGTTGCTGATGAGGTGTTGCATCTTTTTTCCCTTTGAATTTTGTCTTATTTTTTCTTCTTTTGGATGCATTTTCATTAGTTAGAGACTCTTGCTTTGAGAGAGAATTTTGCTTTTGTTCGTCCTCCTGGTTTTCATTAGATGGTATGGAGCTACTCTTTTTATTTCTCTACATTCTTGGATGAATAATTGGTTTCTTTAGTAGAGTTCTATGGTCTCAATCTGAACATAGACTTTACTTCCATTTTGCATTTTGAGCCACCTTAATTTTCATTTTGGGGGAATAAATCCTAGAATGTATCAGAGAATGATTTAAATGCCAGAAAAAAAAAAAAAAAAAAAAAGGAACTAGGGAAGCTTGTTTGGGCTTTTTGAACAATCTTCAGTGACGTGGGCCTTTGACCTCTCTCGTCCAAAATGTTATGTCTGCCCCTGAGCTGAAGCTTAAGGGACAAAGATTATTTTACTTATAAGATGCAAGTTAATGCTTTCTCTCTTTTTTTTTTTATCTTTTTCCTGGACAGATATTTGGGAGGCTTCGAACAACTCACGAGTATCATCTGCATACCTGTTACAAGGTCTGCAATTTTTTGATTGCAAGGAATGGTTTCCTTGAAGGCATGAATCCTGTGCTCTTCTTCTAATTCTATTATCAACTGGTTGGCATCCCTATTTGGTGAATCAATTGGGATATTTTGATTGAGTTTCAAGCCTAAGCTTTCCCTTTTGTATGAAGCAAAAGGTTTGTTTTGTTACCTCTATTTTTGAGTATGGATATATGAGGAGATGAAAATTGATGTGATATTCATGGCTAGGTGTGTCCTTTTTGATGTAACATGTGAAAAATTGGGAAAGGCTTATTCTCTTTGTTGACACAATTTGATTGAATTTCGCTTGCATTGATTGGAGGTTTGTGTTTGATTTGATAGTCTCTTGTCACTTTTTCCTTTACTTCTCCAGCATTTTTCTTTGACATCTTGAATTTTATGTTTTAAGGTTTTTAGCATTATTTTATGGACATATATGATACGAATTCTTTGATTAGATGAGTTTAACAACTTAACATTTTTGCAGAAATGTCATTTCTGGAGAAAGTTCACAGAAAGGATTAACTTTATACTACAATAGTAAGGCGCTCTTAAAAAACCCCTCTGAAAAAAGTTGTTCTAGCATTGGAAATCCCTTCAATTTATCATTTCAACCTTGTGATGTATGGAAATGAAAAAAAATGATTTAAATTTTTTAAAAATAGTGTATCTTGTAACATATTATTTGGATCATTCATTTCTTTGGAGCTTTAAATTTTACAATTTGGCTTGGAAATGCATTTGTATGTTATTTGTAGGAGTTTATGGCACTGGAGCTGCGTATATTATATGTTCCCGTATGAGCGTACCATACATTTATATGTTCCTGCAGGAGCATACCGTACATTTACTTTTTGAGCAGAAGAGTAGTTTGTGAAGATTTTTTATTTTTTTTTTGTGATAGCAAAAATTTTGGGAACAATCAAGATGATTATCTTCAAAATAAGAACGTTTGAATTTTTGATTTTCTGGCACTGAAAAAATGGACGGTTTTTATACAACTTTAAAGCGTTATTTATTTTCAAGCCCATGGAGAATGCAACGAGTTCTTTTATTGACATATGGGTTGAAGATGTTGAATCCCTAAAATCGGGGGTCCTAAAAGTACTCCTAGATTGGGTTTTGCCAAAGGGAGTAATTAGATAGCATGTTCCCTCTAAAGCATAAAATCTTTTGGTTTATCCAAATAGCCATGAGGGATGAACTTTTTACCATTCTACTCATCATTTGACTCATATCTTTTGATTTAATTTTCAAAACATCCATCATTGGCACGTGATTTTGAGTTGGAGTGGTTGCAATTGGGTAAAATGTTGAAAGTTTGTCTGAGGTTGCAACTTGATATTATCATTGAAGTATTGAAGCAAGGTGCACCTCATAAATCCTCCGAAGGGAGTGTTCTCACGTTGGAGAATCCTCCAATTGATAATCTGGACATCAAGATGAGTGCATTATAAAATAAAAAAAATTGAAGTCATGAACAATCCAATTAAGGTGCACCTTCAAATTTTACCAACATATAATTTGATGTAAAATAATTTTAGGAGTATCTCAAAATCTATTATTATATCTAATTATAAAATTTTAAACTAAAAAAATAATTAAAATCAAGTAGATCTATAAACATATAAAAATATTGAAAATAGACGGTCTAAGTAAATATGTTGTAAAATGCACAATTTTTGAGACTCAAAATCCATTTTTCATAGTCATACATTTTGATGTCGAGATGATCAATTAGAGGGTTTTTCAATATTAAAGCAACTTTTTCTGAGGGATTTTTGAGGTGCATTCGTAGTTCTACATTTTAAGGTTGCAACTTTATATAAATTTTTTTCTTATTTAAATAGTCTACTTTCAAGATTTTTTAAGTGTATATAAATCAACTCTATGTGTAAACTTTGTGCAAATTTGAATTTCATAATTAAGGTTGAAAATAGATTTTCAAACCATTATAAAATTTCCATCATCAAAATTACATCTTCAAACAAATTTTAGAGGTGCGCCTTCTTCTACGATGGTGCCTTTTACAAACCTCATCCACAAGGAAAAAAAAAAAAATGTTTACGTGGAAGTAAGGTGCACTCAAAGCTCCTGGGCTGAAAATGGCAGGAGGGCGTCATTAGTTCCTCGACCTTTGAATCAAATGTTTTTACTTAGCTTTATGTCTCTTCAGATCGTTAGATTTCTTCTATGTAACTTCTACACCATCACCATTCACCAAGAACTTGATCTCCTCCACTGCTTCTATTAATTATTCCGGAGCATGATCTGCCGCGAGATGATGCAGAAAAGCTTGCAAAACTATTGCCCTAAGATTGATATCAAAATTGGATATGTTTTTTATTGCGACAGAATAGGTGGATTTTTTTCTTTTTGTTTCTGTCAAATCTCTTGTATGTTTATCCTCCGATCACTTGCCCATTTTTTTCAATACGGGGAGTCTCAGAGGTGGGCCTAAACCTTTTAAATGTGAATTAAGTTGGCTGGAAGATAAAGAGGTGCTTGATCTTATTAGTAGAACTTGGTTAAATACTGAGGTTGGTGGCTCAATGGATTTCCAACTTTACAAAAATTGTTGAATGTCAAACATAAACTAATTGCGTAAAAGAAAGAGAATAAGATTAATTTAAAGGCTACGACTGAGAGGATTCTAGCTGAGATTGAGGTGCTGGATCTTAACACTCAAGTGAATGGTATGCTTATGGAGCAAGCAGTGATTGAACGTAGTGTGAACTTAAGGAGTTAGAGGAGTTACGGAGATCGGAAGAAATTTATTGGAAACAAAGATCGAGAAATAAGTGGTTGAAGGAAACAGACCTTAACACTAAGTATTTCCATGCTATTGCTAGTGCTATGAGAAAACAGAATGATATTTCGGGTCTTATCATTCATGGGATAGATTCTGATGATGGTGCTACTATGGAGTTAAGAATTATACAACATTTCAAGAATGCCTTTTCTAAGGAGGTGACCTTGAATCTCAATTTCGCTAATGTTCTTTTTAAGACGTTGGATGTGGAGTGTATAGAGTTGTTGGAGAAGGAGATCACCATTGAGGAAGTAAAAAATGCAGTTTTTGCAATGCCCGGTGATAAGGCGCCAGTTACAGATGGTTTCCCTTTAAGTTTTTTCCATAAATTTTGGAATATTGTTAAAGATGAATTACTGCTGCTAGTCAAAGAATTCTTCATTAGAGGTCACATTTTTAAAAGAATTAACTCAACTTTTCTAGCCTTGATTCCAAAAAAATATGTGATGTCTGAGCTTATAGATATCAGACTCATCAGTTTGTTGTCGAGTATTTATAAAATTATTGTTAAAATTCTTGCTGGCGCCACAAAGGGGTTCTTCTTTTCCTCATCTCAACCTCACAATTTGCTTTTATTCAGGACTCTTAAATTACTGATAGTGTCCTAGTGGCGCAAGAATATATTCATTCTCGAGTGTTGAGTAAGAAGCTAGGAGTTTTGCTGAAACTAGATATAGAAAGGCACATGATAGAGTGAAGTAGGCGGTGTTGTTAGAGATTTATGAAGTTGATGGGTTTTATAGTGAGATGGAGGAGTTGGATTTATGGCTGCCTTTCTTCAGCCCATTTCTCTGTTCTCGTTAAAGAGAGTCCCATTGGCTTTTTCATTGCCTCTAGAAGTCTTCACCAAAGTGATCCACTTTCTTAATTCTTATTTACCATTTATGCATAGTATTTGAGCTTAATGTTGACTAGAGTGAAAAGGGTGGGAGCCTTTTCGGGATTCAAGATTGCAAATTCCAATATTACGGTCTCCCACTTACAATAGGCTGATGATACACTTATTTTTTGTGATGTAGAGGCACTGCATTTGGGTAATATCATAAGGTTTCTTGAAATTTACGAAGTGACCCTGGGGATCAAAATTAATTTCCATAAGTCATCCCTGATGGGTATAAATTGTACAGAATCTTTGGTGAATTGTCTGGCTGTTGTAATGGGATGTAAGGTGGGTTCTTTCCCAATTACATATTTGGGTTTACCAATTTCAGATTCAAAATGTTCTGTTGCGGTTTGGGATAGGATAATTGAGAGGGTGCAAGACAAACTTGATCTTTGGAAGCATAAATATCTATCATTGGGAGGTAGGGTTACGTTTTTAAGATCATGTTTGACCAACCTTCTGGTGTGCCAGATGTCGGTGATCTAAATTCCAACTTTGGTAGGGAAAAGAATTGAAAGGATGATGAGAGATTTTTTGTGGGGTTCGTATGGAGAGAACATGAAATTCTATTTGTTAAAATGGGATAGAGTTTGTACCCCCAAGCGTGAACGTGAATTGGGTATTCGGAATGTTAGAATGTTTAACCGAGCTCTCTTGTATAAATGGTGGTGACGCAGCACACACTTGAAAGATCATTTTTGGTACCAAGTTTTGGTTTCCAAATATTGAATGGATTGTTATGATTTATGGCCTTGGTGGTGGTCGAGGTAAGGAGACGTCTTATATGTGGCGAGCTATTTAAAACTGCAGCCCATGATTTCTGGTTATTTTAGGTAGAATGTTGGAAGTGGTCAACATGTTTTGTTTTGGCATCACAAATGGTTTGGGGATTTTCCTCTTAAATCTGCTTTCCCTGATTTGTTCCCTATGGATGCTAACCCAAATATTTTGATTTGTTCTCTCAGATATAGGCGTTTAAATAATTTGCTATCATCCCAGTGGTACTTGCTGATGGAACTCCTGGACAAAGTGTATATTTCACAAGATGCAGATGATATGTTAGTAGGAGAGATTGAATGCGATGGTAACTTCTTTGTAAAATATTGCTATAATTTGTTTTTCCATGATCGGTAGAGATGGCCATGTCCTAATATTGCTTAGATATGAAAATTGCCAATACCCCATAAGATTCAAGTATTTATTTGGTTGACTGCGCAGGACAAAATCTTGACTATTGAAATGGATAAGATTCTGTCAAACATTTGTTTACTTTGTAAACAAGACGAGAAATCAGTAGCTCATCTTTTGATCCGCTGCTCATTTACTTCACGAATTTGGCATTGATTGATGGACTTGGTAAGAGTTTCCCTAGTGTTGCCTCTTAGTTTGCTTAATTTTGTTGCTCAATTCATGTTCCCCTTTTTGCCTAAAGTTGGTGGTGTAATATGGAAAATTGCAAAAGGGGTGATCCTGTGGGAAGTTTGGAAGGAGAGAAATAGGAAAAAGAACTTTTGAGGGATCTGCTTTGCTGTTTGACAAGTTAATCCATTTAATCAAACTTTCTATTTGGTCAAATCTCTCGGTGTCCAAGGAGGGATGTGGGATCTCAAAAGTTGATGTTATGGTTAATCTCTCTAATATGTTTT